GGGCGACGTTGGAGGTGCCGCTGGGGGGCCCCAATGCGGATCCAAGAAATCCGCGCGGAGCGCCAAAAGTTTATCAGCGTGAGGGGGCTGAACCGAACGGTCATTCACTGTCCCTGGGTGCGTGGCTGAAGTGGAATTCCGCGATGCGGATTCTTCTTGTTGTTGTTGTTGTTGTTGTTGTTGTTGTTGTTGTTGTCGTTGCTGTTGTTTGTTGATGTCGTCGTCCCACCCGCGACCCGCCCCGCGACCCACACACGACCCACCCCGCGACCCACCCGCGATCCACCAGCGACCCACCCTGCGACCCACCCGCGACCCACACCGCGACCCACCCGCGACCCACCCGCGACCCACCCGCGATCCACACCGCGACCCGCCCGCGCCGCGACCCACCCCGAGACCGCCCCGGCGACCCAACCCGCGACCCACCGGCGACCCACCCGCGACCCACCCGCAACCCCCCCCGCGACCAACCTGCAACCCACCCGCGACCCACCCGCGACCCACCGCGACCCACCCGCGACCCACCCGCGACCCACCCCGCGACCCACCCAAAATTTTCGGCGCCTGCGGCGGGTTTCTTTTGCATTCGTTCCAGCTGGAGAACCTGCGCCCCACCCGCGACCCAAACCGCGTCCAGTGTACAAATAAAAACTTTCGGCGCCTGCGGCGGACTGTTTTGGAATTCCTTCCAGGTGGTGGAGAGCCCGCGACCCACCCGCGACCCAAACTACGTTCACTGAACAAACCAAAACTTGGGCGCCTGCGGGTTTCTTTTGCGTCGGCGACCCACCCGCGACTCACCGGCGACCCACCCCGAGACCCACCCGCGATCCACCCCGCGACCCACCCGCGACCCACCCGCGACCCACCCGCGACCCACCGCGACCCACCCGCGACCCACCCGCGACCCACCCCGCGACCCACCCCAAATTTTCGGCGCCTGCGGCGGGTTTCTTTTGCATTCGTTCCAGCTGGAGAACCTGCGACCCACCCGCGACCCAAACCGCGTTCAGTGCACAAATCAAAATTACCCCAGTGCGACCCTACCTAGGAGTTGGAGCCCTTAGGAAAGCAGCATTAGTAGTAACAGTAAACGCCGTCCTCCTCCTTCTCCTCATCGTCGTAGTTGACTTTGCTTTTGCTTGTGTTTGCTTTTGCTTGGTTTTGCTTTTGCTTTGCCTTCGCACACACACACGCATGTTTTTGCATTCGCTCACCGGGTGGACTCTCTGATCGTACTGTTGCACATTGTGTGTGCTTAGCCTTTCCTTTGCTCTGCTTTTGCTTTTGCTTTGCTTTGCTTTGCGTTGCTTGTGTTTTGCTTTGCTGTTGCTGCTGTTGATTTGCCTTTGTTGTGCTGCTATACTATGCTATGCTATGCTATGATATGCTATGATATGCTATGATATGCTGCACTATGCTATGCTATGCTATGCTATGCAGCGCTATGCTGCACTATGCTATGCTGCGCTACGCTAGGCTGCGCTATGTTATGCTAGACTATGGTATGCTATGCTATGCTGCGCTATGCTATGATATGATGTGTTATGCTGCGCTATGCTATGCTATGCTATGCTGTGCTGTGCTATGCTATGATGCGCTATGCTATGCTATGCTATGCTGGGCTATGCTATGCTATGCTGGGCTATGCTATGATATGATATGCTGTGCTGCGCTATGCTATGCTACGCTATGCTATGCTGTGCTCTGCTATGCTAAAGCTCAGCGAAGCTAAGATGAAGGTAAGCTAAGCTAAGATGAGATAAACAACGCTAAGCTAAGGGGACGTAACTGGGGGAACCGCGGGGCGGATACTGGGGGAACCGCCCGTGGCGCTTTCCACTGCCCGGCCCCTTCAAGCCCAGAGAGTAAGAACCCTTCTAGGCAGAGCCTAGGTAGGGAATTTTCGGCGCCTGCGGCGGACTGTTTTGGGATTCCTTCCAGGTGGAGGTGCAGAGCCCGCGACCCACCCGCGACCCAAACTACGTTCACTGAGCAAGCCAAAACTTCGGCGCCTGCGGCGGGTTTCTTTTGCATCGGCGACCCACCCGCGACCCACCGGCGACCCACCCCGAGACCCACCCGCGACCCATCCCGCGACCCACCCGGGACCCACCCGCGACCCACCCGCGACCCACCGCGACCCACCCGCGACCCACCCGCGACCCCGCGAACCACCCAAAATTTTCGGCGCCTGCGGCGGGCTTCTTTTGCATTCGCTCCAGCTGGAGAACCTGCGACCCACCCGCAACCAAAACCGCGTTCAGTGTACAAATCAAAATTTTCGGCGCCTGCGGCGGGCTGTTTTGGGATTCCTTCCAGGTGGAGGTGTAGAGCCCGCGACCCACCCGCGACCCAAACTACGTTCACTGAGCAAGCCAAAACTTCGGCGCCTGCGGCGGGTTTCTTTTGCATTCGTTCCAGGTGGAGAACCTGCGACCCAAACCGCGTTCAGTGGGGGCCGGCAGAAAGGAGGAGGAGGAGGAGGAGGAGGAGGAGGAGGAGGAGGAGGAAAAAAGGAGGAAGGAGGAAAAGGAGGAGGAAAAGGAGGAAGAGGAGGAGGAGGAGAAGGGAAGGAGAGGGGAGAGAGGAGGCGGACGACGACGACGACACGATGAGGACGAGGACGCGGACGAGGAAAGGAGGAGGAGGAGGAGGAGGAGGAGGAAGGGAGGAGAGGAGGAAGGAGGAGGAGGAGCAAGAGGGAGGAGGAGGAGGAGGAGGAGGCGGAGGAGGAGGAGGAGGAGGAGGAGGAGGAGAGGGAGGAGGAGGAGGAGGAGGAGGAAGGCGCCATCGACAGGGAAAGTGAGGGCCACGAGGTCCGCCGGCTCGACGCCCGCGTCGCCCGCGCCCGCCCCCTCACTCATATCCGCAATTGCGGGGTGCTACGTATGTATGGCGTTTTTTCTTCTTCGACTCGGAGCGAGCGTGGGTTGTCCGAACTCTTTCGTCCGGGGCATTCCCAAAGGCGGCTCGCCGCATTCGTCCTGGGCGGCGGCCAGGCTTGACGACGCCGCCGCAGCCTGCAGCTCCGGCCACAGCGCCCGCGGCGCCCAAGGGCCGCGAGCCAGGGCCCGCCAGACCCGCGCCTGCCGCTGGGATTGGCTGTGACGCTCAGCGCCTGCCGCGATCGCTGGACCTCACAAGGGGGTCTCTGGAGGGGGCCCAAGAGCACTCGAACAGAGCACCGTGCAACTCAGTACTCGAGCAGACCACAGCTGCCCCCGGGGTACCCCCGAAAGGTCCAGAGCCCCGGGCAGGCGGAAGAGAAGACATCTCGACAATCTCGGCACCTTGCCTGGGGCTGCGGCAGGGCGCCCATACTGCTGCCCCACGGAGCTCTTCTGGGGCGCGTGCTGACCAGGCTTCCGAGGCGAACCCAGCCATGGTGACGAGGGAAGGGTAGCGGTACAGGTGTCGGGAACAATTACGCAACACTCATGCAGAACACATGGTTTGAACTCCGCCCCTCCCCCGCCCAAATGCCAAATGCAATGCTGGTTTCGGATCTTCCGATGTTGGCTTCCGAGTGGTCTTCAAGGAACGTGCCAACTTTGAATTGCGGGGGAGGGGGAGAGTGCTGCTTCATTTCTTCCCTCAACCGTATGGGTATCTTTTTCCTCCTCTGAGTGTCGACTGCTTTCGCTGCCGTGCCCACGGTCTGTCGCCCTGGGCCCCTGAGCCCCCTCCGGACCCCTGGGCTTGCCACCGCTCGGACGTTCATTCCCCGTGCATGTTTCGGCTTCGCGCGCGTATTGTCTATTGAACGATGGCCCGAGATGCTCCTCGATGGTCCCCGCCGAGAAAGCATGCACACGTCCGAGCGATGCCAAGAGGGAGGCCCAGCGATCGCAGAGCGCCTGCGAGCAGCACTCCGCCCAGGTCTGGGCCCAGCTCGAGCTCCCCGTCCACCAGGGCGTCGAGCAGCCCCCAGAATGCCTTGAGCAGCCGCAGCTGGACGAGCCCACGCGCCAGCATCGCCAAGCCTCTGCGGTCTGGTTCGCCGCCGGCGACCGCTGGCAGACCTCGCCGCAGCGCTGGCGCGAGATGCCCGGTGGCGTACTGCTCGACTGCATGCAGGCCACTGGCGATCTGGGAGCGCGTGTCGGGCGCCGAGCAGCCGACACACCAAGCTATGCTCCCTGCCTCCTGAACGCTGAGGCCAGCGAGGCCCCCAGGCTTCTGCAAGCATGCCTGGCTGATGGCCTCCGTGAGCGGCACGCTTCGCGTGCGCAATTCCGCAGCCGACCAGGCGATTGCCGCCAAGTCCCTTCCCTCGAATTCGCAAGCTCGAGCTGACATCAGCGCGGCGGCGGTTGTGATCATCAAGTCCCTGTCTAATCCTTCACAAAGGTGCATGGCGGCGAAACCCCATACAGCGTTGGCCAATCCACGAGGCTCGAACTCGCACGACCTGTCAAGCACCGTTACGCGTAGAATTTCCATCAACGGCGCGTCATAATATCCTACTCGCTTGCACGTCCTCATCTCTGCTCCGTTGAACGCAGCACACGCCCACACCACCGCTGCAAGGTGCATAGGGTATAACTCATCCACCCGGTCTATGGCTTCATGGAAAAGGGCAGCGAACATGTTCTCATCTCTACTTGTTGCTTTGGCGGATGCCCACATCAAATTTGCTAAATGTTGCGCGCTGAACAAGCGAATCATATTATGGCTCCGAAGCGAGAGGGCGTCCGAAAGACTTGGAGAGCCCTGCGACACTGAGGCGAATGCCCATGTAACGTTCGCCAGCTCCTGTGGCCCGAATGTGTGAGCGAGGTCGATGCACCTGCTCTCGATGAGCGCAAAGACCTCGGCATCGTTTAGAGACAGGGTGGCGTATGACCACGCCAGTGCAGACAGGTGGCGGCAATCGAACTGGACCAGGGTGCGCAAAGCTGCAGCTGAGATGTGATCACACATGAAAGATCGCTGCACCAATGCCATCTTCGCCACTGCCCAAGCCAACTGGCAAACGTCTGTAGGGCCCATGTGCGAACTCTCAGTTATCACCTCGATTATCTGCTCGATGGCTACCTCCGCATTGCTTCTCCTGCTGGGAGCGCACGCCCAAGCGACCCGCGCCAAATCCTTCGTGCCGAACTGCGATACGCACTGCGAGCACGCCGCGATGGCTGCGTCCAACGCATCGGGCACCCCTCCCACCCGGGCCAGTGACCAAGCCTGGGGAAACCAAAAGGTACCGCTATCGCTACTCCCAGGACCTCTCAAGGGTTGCCTTCTGGCCAGAACTCCGAGGCGAATCTAGCGGTGGCGACGAGGGCCTCCCACCTGGAGGCCCCAAAAATGGGGAAACGAGGCCATGGCACGGCCAGGCACCCTCCACCGGCCAAACTGAAGAGCATTCGGGGGTACCCCTCCCCCAGGATGCACAAGAACATCCAACCAGCACGAAAAACATTAGGGTACCATCCTCGAACCAACCTCGAGCTACAGTCGGCCCGTATCAGAAGGATGCGCGACAAGGATGCAAGGGCCTTGGACGCCCATTTCGAAGCTTTTCCAGCGGGGCGCGGCCAACGAAAGTGGCCAAGGATGGACCGAGGAGGCAAGGATGCAAGGGTACCCTGGGGAAGGTTGCCTGTCCTTCCTGTGCGGGTTGACTGTACCTCGGTCCGACCGTAGCGGTATCGGCACCTCTTCCTCCCATGAGAGCCAGAGCTGCGAGCGCTGGGGGCTGCAGCTCCGAGAGGCGCCGCGCGCTCTCCCGGGCCAGCGCCTCCCAGCGGGCGCCGCGCCCGCTGGCCCGTCGGTTCCCAGGGCTGCTGCGCGCAACGGCGTGGACCGCTCGAACCAGGTGGTCTGCGCGGGGGCCCACGCCTTACGATGATGAGGGAGGAGGGGGGAGGAGACGAGGAGGGAGGAGGAGGAGGAGGAGGAGGAGGAGGAGGAGGAGGAGGAGGAGGAGGAGGAGGAGGAGGGAGGAGGAGGGAGGAAGAGGAGAAGGAAGAGGAGGAGGGAGGAGGAGGGAGGAGGAGGAGGAAGGAGGGAGGAGGAGAGAGGAGGAGGGAGGAGGACGGAGGAGGAGGGAAAAAAACGGAGGAGGAGGAGGAGGAAGAGGAGGAGGAGGAGGAGGAGGAGGAGGAGGAGGAGGAGGAGGAAGACTGCACGGCAGCGGCCTCGGCCGGGAGCCTCAGGCGGCGCCTCTCGGGGGCCCGCCTCTGCGTGCCCTGCCGCCGTGCGCGTGCGCGCGGCGGGCTTCCAAGGGGCGCCGCCCGGCTCGCTGGGAGCAGCGGAGCGGGGGGCAGGGGCAGCCGCGCCTTAGCGTGCCGCGGCTCCACAGTCGGGGCGTTGATCTAAGGAACCCAGATAAGGAACGAGGCCCCTTTTCATCCACGAGTTCAGATTCGGCTCCCCATCGAAAACCTGAGGAAAACCTGGGGCAAGCTGTGAAACGATTAAGGAACACCGAGCCCCTCCCCGACGAAAAAGGCTCCTTCTTCAACGCCCCGACTGTAGCACGGCGAATGGAGCGACGAAAGAGTCGGACGCAGCCTGAGCGACCCCTCCCGTGACCAGCACCTTCCGTGACATCATCCTCGCCTTCCAACCTTCCCCCCTCCGGTCGCATACACGTTTTGGGGGTGGTTTGCCAGGGGTCGGTCAGGCCGCTTCCGAAAGAGGGTCCGAGAACCAGCGAACCCGAATCACACATGCGTGCCGCCCCTCGCCGATACGGGCCTCCTCGGAGAGGCCGTGGGCCATTTGGGAGGCCGTCCTGAGCGAACCCTTGAAGGGCAAATCAGGGAGGCGTCTCAAAGGAGGACTGCGGCTGCGGCCTGCGAGGAACGCCGCGAGGGCGCTGCAGGGTGGGGCCGAAGCACCCAGAAAACGACTATGCAGCACTGCCAGGACTCGTTTGGGCAATCGTGGAAATTGAAATTTGCAAAATCGCCCTCTGGCTCGGCCCACGTGCTGGTGCAGGCGAGTGTCATGAGAAGAGGGGCAGCGTCTCAAAGAAAGAGGTCGGCGATAAGGAGGAGGGCAATGACGAGGCGCTGATGGCGCGCGCTCTCCCCGGCCCTCCTGGCCTGCCCCCGCACCCCGACATCCTGGGCCTCTCCCCGCACCCTCGCGGACCGCCGCTTGTGGACCACACCTGCCTCTCCAGTCCTCAAGGCCACAATAACGGCGATGTTGGGAATCTGGCTTCTGAGACGCCGAACTCGCGCAGAACAAATTCAGGAAAACACGAACAAGCCTTCCCTGCAATTGGGTTGGCCACGAAACACCCCGACCTACGATACCGAAACCTACATCGCCGTTAGCGTGTCGACGGAGTCAGCGTGCTCAAGCGCAGGCCCTCGTCGCCATCGGATCCAACCCCGTGAAGTGAGCGAGTCCTGTGGTCGTGACATGGATCTGCCAACATCCATGTTGCGTGCAGCTCGTCGAGGTGCTGACTGACACTCGAGAGGCCCTCGTCCCAGCAGTGGCTGCACGGTGCACGTGCTTGTGGAGCCAGCGCCCCCGCCGTTCTGGAGTCGTGCCCACTGCCAGCCGCGCGGCATTGTCAGCAGGCCCTGGCCCTCCTGGCAGGAGAGCCCGGAGTCGAATGGACAGGTCTGCTCGGCAATCGACATGAATCGGATCGGCGGAGGTCGGCAGCCAAGTCGGGAGAAGTCGTTTCGGCAGAAATCGGCAGGCTAGTAGGCCTCCATGGAATCGGAGCCCGAATCGGAATCCCAAGTCGAATCGAATCGGAATCGGAGGCCATCGACATCGAATCGAATCGGCAGAATCGAAACGAGCCCTGTTTTTGACTCATGCCCATTGCCAGCCGCGCGGCCTTGTCAGCAGGCCCTGGCCCTCCCGGCGCGTCCCCTGCCCACACCCGCCGGGGTGGAGCCGCGCTCGTGGGCATGGCGCGGGGGCTCCCCGGCCACTTGCAGATTTGGTGCTCGCGCTGTCAATGCTCTGCTCTCCTGAGGCTTTGCAGCGTCGCACCCTTTACATGTCCGAGCTCCGTAGCCGCCTGCACGCCCTCCTGTGCTCAGCTGCGGTCTTGCTCTGATGGACACTGCGCAGGCCTGAGGAAAGCTTGAGGTCCAGTCCAATGTGTGCCCTCGTGGCGCGGTGGGAGGTGCAGAGTTGCATGCGCGGACTGGTGGCCCGTTCGCCCTGCGGCCAGCAGGGGGTGTGGTGCTGCTTCGGGCCGCCAGGCAAGCAAAATAGTGAGTTGGCGCGCCAGCCATTATTGAAGGGACCCTGGGACACAAACAAATACACACAACTCCCAGGATTCCCCATATTTTATCATGCTTTCTGGACTTTCGTCTTCCCCCACAACTTCCCATATTTTCCCACATTCTCCTAGGGATCGACGATTAATTGTGTCTGTGTGTGTTTTCCCCTGCTGACTTATGTCCGCCGAGCGTGCGATCCCTGACTGGGAAGAGGCAGAGGAAGAGGTCGACGATCGATATTCCGATCACTCTGATCGCCGATCTCGTGATCGCCTCTCAACTGGTCGGGTCGGCCTGATCGCAGTGGTCGTCCCCTGTTGCGTGATCGGCGCTTGGTCAGAGTCGGGCCCACTCGGCTCTCGGCCGGGTCCCGTCGGCCACCCGATCGACCAGGCGCTACTCAGGGCCGCGCGCTGGCCGGCACTGCTGCAGCATTCGCGGGCCCCCGACTGCAGCCGCCTCGGAGTCGGGAGCGGCGGTGCTGCCCGAGCCCGAGCCCATGCGGCCTCTGCCCACTGCATGCAACAAGCGCGGCAAGCTCGGGCCAGTTCGTGGGGAGGCGGAGGATCCAGACGCGGACGGGAGCGGAATGATTTGATCTCTGACAGACCTGGAGAAAACCGCAGAGGGTCTTGAATGATGGCACGCCCCCCCCTAAGCTCTCGGCTGGGAATGGTCGGCCCTCCCCTCCTCGCCCTCCTCCTCGCTCTCCCTCCTCGCCCTCTTCTCGTGCTCCCCTCCTCGCCCTCCCCCTCCTCGTCCTTCTCGTCCTCGTTAGCAGGAAGCGAGCGCGGCAAATGAACATGGAGGAAGAGAAGGAGGAGGAGGAGGAGGAGGAGGAGGAGGAGGAGGAGGAGGAGGAGGGGGAGGAGGAGGTCGACATAGGGGAAACCTGGCAGTGGGTGCGCATCGAAAGTGTTGTCCCTGCCCTTAAGGCGGATGGAAGCATATTGGCCTGGCGAGTGACCTTACACCACGAAGAGTGCGGCCCTCTCCTCACATGCAGCGTGCCGCGGCAAGGAGGGAGCTGTGTGAGCTGTGTGCCGTTGTGAGGCAAGGGGGGGCGGAATGGAACCACCCCTGCTGGGGCCGCAAGTGGACCTCCCTAGGGGGTCCGAATCGAGGCGAAGGGACGGTCCGGGGCCGCCCTCCAGGGCCGTGGGTGGAACCCCCGATGGGGCACGCTCCGCGCAAGGGATGGCATGAGAGGCCGCTCTCTGGGGGGACCGTGGGTGGAGTTTTCCATGTGGTGCACAAGCCGCGCGAAGGGTGTTCCGAATTGCGGCGTGGGCGACAACGACGATGGTCATAATCCGCCGGCCCCCTCCGGGGGCGCAAGGCTTCGAAGGTGTGTGGGGTCTGCTGTCATGTGTGTTATGCGTTGTCATTTGTTGTTAGGCCTTTGGTCTCTCCAGTCCTGTTTCCTGCCTCCTGTTTACTGTCTGATAAGAGGCCCCGCCGCGCCACCAAACAGCCAACCAGGGGGTGTGAACCTCAAATCCAAGCTGCTCTGGGCCACCCCAGGATTCTCATGGTGACGCCACCGCGCGGCCAGAACGGCCCGAGAGGCCTCCAAGATTGCCCGACGAGGCTCCGAAGAGAGCCTCAGGAAGCCAAGACGGCCCAAGATGGCCCCAAAATGTCCCATGATGGTCTCAAGACAGCCCATGATGCTCCCAAGACGGCCCGCGAGGCCTACAAGAGGCCTCCCAACAGGGCCCCACGAAGCAACAATCAACGATTTCCCCGACGTTTTTGGAAGTGTTTGGCCTTCTCGCCTTTTCGGTTTCCCGCCGCCCCACGACGGCCCTGGAAGCCCCCATGACGGCCCAAGAGGCCCCCAAGACGGCCCCAAGACGGCCGAAGAGGGCCCCAAGACGTTCCAAGAGGCGCCCCAGACGGCCCAAAGGGCCCTGAGACGGTCCCAAGAGAGGCCCAAGAGGGAGTCCACGAACCGAAAACTCGACCTTTCCGCCCCGAGAGGGCCCCAGGAAGCGCTAAGAGGGACACCAGAGGCCCCAAGAGGCCCCCAGGAGGCCTCCTTGGGAGTGCCTGGTAGGATTCGCCTAAGAAATCCCGAGGGCCCCAAGAGGACCCCACAGAGCCCCAAGACGGCCCCCTGAAGGGTCCAAAAAAGCCCCACGTCGCCGACAGACCGCCCCAAGCCGCCCCAAGCGGGCTTCAAGAGGCCTTCCAAGGCCTTCCAAGAAGGCCCCGAGAGGCAGCAATCGTCCCATTCCCATGGGAAACGCATCGTTGTAGCATGTGTGACTTTTGGGATTCGGAGCGTCCACGACGAGCCTACAAGCCTCCAAGATCGCCCCAAGATCGCCCCAGAAACCCCGAAGAGGGCCCTAAGACGTGCCGAAACGGCCCCAAGACGGCCCAAGACGCGCCGAAGACGGCCCATGACGGCCCCCAAAGGCCCTAGAGCCAGAGCTCGAAGTTACATGTCCAGCTTTTTGCCCAAACGGCACCTCCCAGGCCGCCAGCGGGCCTCCAAAAAGCCTCTAAGAGGCCCAACAGAAACCCCAAGAACACCCCAAACGGCGCCCAAGAGCCCCCAAAAAAGTTTCAAAATTGCCTCCAAGAGACTATCGACCAGATGCGTCTCCCAAGGAGCGGCCGGTGATGCGCCGCCAGCGCTCTCGATCATAACTGGTAGTAAGAATTCGCCGGCCCAACGGGCCAGAGGCGTGCTAAGATCTCCGGTAACTGCTCTACAATGTTTCTACTTCGCGCGCGCGGGGCGGCCCCTGGGGGTCCCCAGACGAAAAGTACCCCGACCAGGTCCCGGCCGGGTCCCCCCGAGCGCTCCACAAGCGCACCAACAGGGCTCCGAAAACGTCCCCGAGGACCCAAACAAAACCAAGAGGCCCGCAAGAGGTCCCCAAGATGGTACACGAGGCGTCCGAGATGCCACAAGATCGCTCCAAGACGCCCAAGATGGCCCCCAGACGCTCCAAGAGGTCTCCAAGCGTACTCCCAAGAGGGCCCCAAGAGGCAAAATTCATTGCTTTTCCTTAGGTTTTGGACATATTTTGGCTTTTCCACCTTTTCCGCTTCCCGAAGCCCCAAGACAGCCCAAGACGACTCCAAGATCGCCCCAAGAGGGCTTAAGAGGCCCCCAAGAGAGCCCCAAGACGGCCCAAGAGGGCTCCAAGACGGCCCAAGAGGTCTCCAAGACGGCCCAAGAGGGCCCCAAGAACGCCCCAAGAGGGGGAACACGAAACAACATTTCCAGCCCTCGGCCCCAAGAAGCCCCCAGGAGGTCCCAAGAGGCCCCTAAGAGGCCCCAAGAGACCCCCCAGAGGCTCTCAGGAAGCTCCCAAGAAGCCCCCCAACCGGCCCCAGGAGGCCCCCCAAATACCCCCCGGGCACGCAGGCAAGCGCCAGTGATGCTGCAATATGGGCCGGCGGAATGAGCGAAGCGATTGAATAATGATCATAAGAGTACGAATGACACGAATAACAACAAACATTATTCACTGCGTGCAGCTCCCCATATGTGCATCTATTCGCATGGACCTGTCGGCCGTGAGCGTCTAGGCGCAAGAGCTTTCAGATATAAGCGGGCTTGAGTTGTGACGGTCTGGTCGTGAATCTAACTGCGAATGAATTGGAGTGTAAATGGGTCTCAGTAGTACGAGCGCGTCTTTGCGCATGAGCCTGAGGCCTCCTGGGGCCTCCTGGAACCTCCTGGGGCTTCCTGGGGCGGCAAGGAGCCTCTTGGGGCCTCCTGGGGCCTCTCGGGGCTTCGAGTGGCCTCCTGGGGCCTCCAGGAGCCTCGCGTGGCCTCCTGGGGCCTCCTGGAATCTCCTGGGACCTCTTCGAAAGGAATCGTACCCAGGAGAGGCCCAATCTAGAGGGACAGACGTACATCAAACATTGCGGATCGGAGCCGCAGGAGAAAGGCAATCTATAGGAACACGCGTAAAACACCAAGGACTCGCGCCCCAGGGGAGGCCCAAACTAGAGGAACATGCGTAACACATTTCGGATTGTATACACAGGAGAAGGACAATCTACAGAAACATACGTATAACATCAAGGATTCGTGATCCTTTTTTCAATGGTCGGCGCGGCTCGCGCAGCACGAGCCGTTCGCTCTGAAGCGCCAGGGTGTGGGACGTCACCAGGGGCGCCCCCACGGGGTACCCACCTGGCCGTGCCGACCCAAAAAAGGGCCAGGCCACCGAAGTCCCTCCCCTGTGTCCCGCCCGCCGCTGGGCCGAGGCTGACAACTGCTCGCCCGAGCATCTGAGGTACGCAGCATCGCCAGGGGCGCCCACGCGGGGTGCCCACCTGGCCGTGCCGACCCACAAAGGGGCCAGTCCACCGAAGCCACTCCCTCAGGGCCCTGGGCGGGATGCTCTACACAGCGCTGGCAGGCCTCCAGCTCACGGACTCCCGCATCTGCCGAAGTTCTGCGCTGAGCTGAGGCTCGTAGCCAGGCGCCTGTCGGAGGAGGCCGTCGGCGAGCGCGAAGCACTCGCGGAGGCCGCCCCCCGAGCCCGCACCTCCGCCAGCCTCAGGCGCCGCCACCGCGGCCGCCGAGCCCAGCTCCGCAACCGCCTTCGACTGAGCGCGCCTCGGCCCGCGCCGCCTCGGAGCGGCACCGCCAAGGCCGTCGCTCCCGAGGCCAACCCCAGCGGCGCCAGCAACTCCGCCAGCTCCCCGAACTGGATCCGTCGCCGCCGCCGCCGCAGCCCCACCACGGGCGCCACCCCTTGGCCGTCGCGGCCCGCGGACGGGCAAGCTGTCGGCCCAGAAGTCGTCGATGATCCCGTCGCTGTCGTCGAAGCTGTTGCCCATGGGAGCATCGCCGCCAGGGCCGCCCACCAGGGCAGGCACGCCGGCGCGACCAGCACCAGGATCAGCACCACGAGCAGCGCGGCACCTCACAGCGAGGCGAGCACGGCGCCGCCGCCGCCGCTCGCGCTTCGCATCCGAGACACCATCTTTGCGGCCATCCGCCCCAGCGCTGGCGTCCGCAGGCGGCGGCGGGGGCATCGCGGCCCGAAGGGCCACCGACACCGCGCCCCGCGCCACCGCGGCCACCGTGCGCCGTGGCGCCTTAGCCTCGACTGCCGCACGGACGGCGGCAGCCACGAGAGCCGCCCTGTCCACGCCAGCTGCCGCCCCTCTAGCCGCGCCCAGGCCCGCCATACCGAGAAGGACAGCCGAGGCGGCGCGGCGTGCGGTCGCTTGAGCCAAAATGGCTACGAAAGGATTCGTGATCCAGGTGAGGCCCAATCTATAGGAGCATACGTAAAACACACGGGATTGGAGCCACTCCTGTTGCCTTCTGAGGCCTCCTGCTCCTGGCGCCTCTCGGGGCCTCCTGTTGCCCTCTGGGGACTCCTGAGGCCTCCTGGAGCTTCCTGTGGCCTCCTGGAGCCTCTTGGGACATCCTGTGGCCCCTTGAGTCTTCCTGTGGCCTCCTGATGCCTCCTGGGACCTCATGTGGCCTCCTGGGGCCTCCTGGAGCCTGCTGGAGCCTCCTGTGGCATCCTGGGGAGAATCTGTGCCCACGAGTCTGGCCACCAAAGCAGGCAAACCGATCGAGACATCCTCAAAATCTGCCCCCCCCCCCCCCCCCCCCCGGGGGGCGAAACTGAGCGCCTCGCTCGAGACATCCTCCAAATCTGCTCCGAAAACGAAGGATGTTCGCGACCAAAACAGGCAAACCGCCTGAGACATCCCCGCAATCTGGGCGCGAACGGAGGCCGTGAGATACCCCTGGCGGCCCCCCCTGAGCATGCGCCTTGCACAAGACATCCTCGAATTCTGCTCCGAAAACAATGGATAGTCGCGACCAAAACAGGCAAACCGCTCGAGACATCCCTGCCATTGTGGCGCGAACGAAGGCCCTGAGATACCCCCTGGCGCCCCCCCTTAGGAGTGCTAAAATCAGCAAGCTGCTCGAGACATCCTGATCATCTGCTCATCGTCATCGTCATCGTCATCATCATCATCATCATCATCATCATCATCATCATCATCAGCAGCAGCAGCAGCAGCAGCATCATCATCATCATCATCATCATCATCATCATCATCATCATCATCATCATCATCATCATCATCATCAGCATCATCATACTCAGCCATCAGTCACCAGCACCATCATACTCACATCATACTCCCACCATACCATGGTCATCATCATGACACTCATCATCATCGTCTAGTTCAGACGAGGGAGGAGGGAGGGGAGGGATGATGATGAGGGGTCCGGCGCGGTCAGATAATTATTCACTGCGTGGAGCCCCCCATATGTGCATTTATTCGCATGGACCTGTCCGCCGTGAATGTCTAGGCGCAAGAGTTTTCGAATATAAACGGGCTTCAATTGTGACGGTCTGGTCGTGAATCTAACTGCGAATGAATTGGAGTGTGAATGAACCTCAGTGGTACGAGCGCGTCTCTGCGCATGAGCCTGGGGCCTCCTGGGGCCTCCTGAAACCTGCTGGGGCTTCCTGGGGCCTCCAGGAGCCTCTTGGGGGCAGGATTGGTGCCACAGGAGAGGCCCAATCTACAGCAATAGACGTACATAAAACATTGCGGATTGGAGCCGCAGGAGAAAGGCAACCTATAGGAACACACGTAAAACACCACGGACTCGTGCCCCAGGGGAGGCCCAATCTACAGGAACATAAGTAAAACATTTAGGATTGCATACGCAGAGAAGGACAATATCTGTAAACATACGTATAACATCTAGGATTCGTGCTCCAGATGAGGCCCAATCTATAGGAGCATACGTAAAACACATGGGATTGGAGCCACTCCTGTTGCCTTCTGAGGTTTCCTGCTCCTGGGGCCTCCCGGGGCGTCCAGTTGCCTTCTGGGGCCACCTGGCGCTTCCTGTGGCCTCCTGGGGCCTCCTGTGGCTTCCTGAGGCCTCCTGGAGCTTCCTGGGGCCTCCTGGAGCCTCTTGGGACATCCTGTGGCCTCTTGAGTCTTCCTGTGGCCTCCTGATGCCTCCTGGGGCCTCATGTGGACTCCTGGGGCTTCCTTGCGCCTGCTGGAGCCTCCTGTGGCATCCTGAGGGGAATTTGTGCCCACGAGTCTGGCCACCAAACCAGGCAAACCGATCGAGACATCCTCAAAATCTGGCCCCCCCGGGGGGCGAAAATGAGCGCCTCGCACGAGACATCCTCCAAATCTGCTCCGAACGCGGAGGAAGTTGGGGACCAAAACAAGCAAACCGCCTGAGACATCCCCGCCATTTGGGCGCGAACGGAGGCCGTGAGATACCCCTGGCGGCCCCCCCTTAGGAGGCGCCTCGCAAGAGACATCCTCAAAATCTGCTCCGAAAACGGAGGATGTTGGGGACCAAAAGAAGCAAACCGCCTGAGAAATTCCCGTCAATTTGGGCGCGAACGGAGGCCGTGAGATACCCCTGGCGCCCCCCCTTAGGAGCGCTAAAACCAGCAAGCCGCTCGAGACATCCTCCTCATTGTCATCATCATCATCATCATCATCATCATCATCATCATCATCATCATCATCATCATCATCATCATCACCATCATCATCATCACCGTCATCATTCATCATCATCATCATCATCATCATCGTCATCGTCATCGTCATCGTCATCGTCATCGTCATCATTCATCATCATCATCATCATCATCATCATCATCATCATCATCATCACCGTCATCGTCATCATCATCATCATCATCATCATCATCATCATCATCATCATCATCATCATCATCTTTTTCTTCGCCGCAGGCGTGGCGGATCAGACCGGCTTGGGGGTTAGACCCGGGCGCTCAAGCAGGGGGGAGCCCTTGCGCAAACGCGTGGCTCCTGGATGTCGGTCTGGAGGTGAATCGGTGGTTGGGGAAATCGCCTTAAACATACATCATACACTTCTGTACCCAAGCCGGGCAAGGTGGCCGTCGGGGGGTGCAGGTTCGGTCGAGGACTATTCCATTTGAGTTCGTTACATCGTCTACTCCGTTATTGCATACCCCCTGTTCTACTTCCACAGCTACATCCGCATCATCATCCTCGTCTTCCTCTCCCGCAGGCGTGGCAGGGCAGCGTATTCAAATTTCGGCAGCATTCTCATCAGCAGCGGGCCTTCGTCAGCAGTGGCTTGTGGTTTCGGCGTAGGGGTTGTGCCGACCAAACCGTATGTTTGACCTGGAACAGCCATATCCGTTCCCCCCTCCCCCCCTCCCTCATATTTCCCCTCTTCCTTCCTTCCACTCGTCCGCGAATTTCCCCCGACAGTGTTTGCACGGTTATCGCATGTACCACCGCCGGCTTGTTCTGGGGCTTCCGAATGCCACTATTTGGGGTCATTGGTCGTTGAGCTCCGGCGCCTGGGGTGGAAGCAGCATTCAAAGCCCGCCTGGGGGCACCACCACCAGGGCCGGATAAGGAGTCCCGCCATCGCAGCAGCACTTTCCCTTGTACGCAGGGCTTGTTTCATTTCCTTTCCCATGGGGGGACCAGCGGACGAATGACAGCGGGACCGTCTCTCCTGCTGGACCCAGGTCCGGCAGTTCCCCCTCCGGGGACTTGGAGGGCATCATTTTCTTCTTCGCCGCAGGCGTGGCGGATCAGACCGGCTTGGGGGTTAGACCCGGGCGCTCAAGCAGGGGGGAGCCCTTGCGCACACGCGTGGCTCCTGGATGTCGGTCTGGAGGTGAATCGGTGGCTGGGGAAATCGCCTTAAACATACATCATCATCATCATCATCATCATCATCATCATCATCATCATCATCATCATCATCATCATCATCATCATCATCATCATCATCATCATCAGCATCATCATCATAATCATCCATCTTTCACCATCACCATCATACTCACATCATACTCTCACCATACCATGGTCATCATCATGGTATGGGTGGTCCGGCGCGGACGGAGAATAACAATAACCCCATCCTTTGGATATGGGGAATAACAAGAACCTCATCTTCTGGATATGGGGAACAATACTGCTAATAAGAATACTGATCCAACTATTGACAACGATAAACGAAAAATACTAAATGATGGTGATAATGATCCTGATGATGATGAAGACGGTGATGGTGAAGATGACTATGGTGATGGTGATGATGATAGTGGTGATGACGATGACGATGGACGTGATCATGCTGATGCAGAAGGAAGGGAAATGTGAAGGTGATGGTGATGGTGATGATGATGATGTTAATGATGGTGATGGTGATGATGATGATGCTGATGATGATGTTGCTGATGATGATGATTATGATGATGATGATGATGATGCTGATGGCGATGGTGATGGTGACGGTGTTGGTAATGGTGATGGTGGTGGTGAATGATGATAATGATGGTAATGGTGTTAATTATGATTATGATGGTGAGGTGGTGGTAATGATAGTGGTGATGTTGATGATGATGATGATGATCGTGATGGTGATGGTGATGGTGATGATGGTGATGGTCATGGTAATGGTGATGGTGATGGGGATGATGGTGCTGGTGGTGGTGTGTCTGATGGTGACGGTGATAATGATGACGAAGATGATGATGATGTTCATGGTGATGATGATTGTGATGGTGATGGTGATGGTAATGGTGATGGTGATGGTGATGATGGTGATTGTGATGATGATTGTGATGGTTATGATGATGGTAATGGTGATGGTGATAGTGATGGTGATGGAGATGATGGTAATGGTGATGGTGATGGTGATGGTGATGATGATGATGATGATGATGATGATGATGATGGTGGTGTGGGTGATGGTGATGGTGATGATGATAATGGTGGTGGGGATGATGATGTGAATGATGGTGATGGGGATGGTGATGATAATGATGATGATGGTGATGGTGATGGGGATTGTGATGGTGATGCTTGTGATGGTGATGGTGATGGTGATGATGGTGATGGTGACGACGACGACGACGATGATGGTGATGATGATGATGATGATGATGATGATGACGGTGATGATGATGGTGATAGTGGTGATGGTGGTGATGATGGTGATGATGATGGTGATGGTGATGGTGTAGGTAATGGCGATGATGGTGATGGTGATGGTGATGGTAATTGTGATGGTGATGATACTTATGATGATGATGATGATGATGATGATGGTGGGGATTGTGATGATGATGGTCATGGATATTACGATGGTTATGGGGATGTTGATGATGTTGATGGTGATGATGTTGATGATGGTGATGGCGGTTCGGGCGTTGATGATGGCGATGATAAGAATGATGATTGTGATGATGATCGTGACGGTGACGGTGATGA